TACATAGAAAATTGTGCAAAAATCTTGACCAGTCTTCAGCAAACTGAGAAAGCTTCAACTTAAATCCTTCTAAGAAGAGAACATTTTTCGCATAGCAAAGTAACAAAAATCAAAGTTTGATGAGACATTGCATGTGGAGGAAATGTGAAACAGAACAAATGCATTGCTGCTCTGAGTGTATATTGTTACAGCTTTATGGAGGTCAACTTGAAAATATCCAATAAAATGCAAAATGCATATTGCTTTGACTCAGCAGTTCTACTGCTTGGAAGTTATCCTATATATAGTCTCTCACATGTTCACAAAGACATTTGCAGAAGAGTATTTATTACAGCAACTGCTTGCAAGAGCAAAATGTTTAAAAACAACATAATGTACATTAATAATAAATATTTGTTAAGTCAACTACAGTCCACCCACAAAATAAAATACTAGCAGATGTTTTTAAAAGTCATCTCTATATGTACTAAAATAGGGTCATTTCTAAAATACAGTAACAAGTGAAAAAAGCAAGATATAGAAAAGTACATACAGTATGCTTATGTGTATGTAAATTAAAGGGGGAATAAAATATACGGTATAGGTCTGTAGAAGGATGCTCAAAAATCTGGATAAAGCAATGAGAAACCAAGGACTGTGGGACAAAATGGGAGGAAAACAACTTCTCACTACTGTATATTATTTCATACCTTTTAAAACTGTGCACCATGTGTATACATCACCTCTTCTAAATGAATAAATAAATTCAAGGTGATTGGAAATTCTATGGGCAGAGAATTTACAAAATCAAATTGTTTACAAAAGAAATGTTATTATAGCAACAGGAGCCACTGATGATAAGATTGTCTATTCTGTTCATAGCATTCTTGGATAGCTAAAGACTGCATATAAGAAGTCTTCATATGCATATATGTGTGTATATATTTGATATAAAAAAACTTGAAGAAAGAGGGTCAAGCCAGACATTGCAATTTCTGGACCAAGAAGTATGGGAATGATTTATGATTCATTTTTTCAACAATGAACTGAACACAATTATATGTCAAGTAATAGGAATGATAATATAAAGAAGAAAAAAATCCTTATTTCCTGCACTCAAGCCACTTAAAACTTAATAGACTAATGGATCCAAGATAACAAGAAAGACAAAAAAATTAATGAGAAGCACGGTTTAAAACAACTTGAGGTGGCTCAACTAACACTAAAATGTTATTGTAGAGAAGTCTTTCAGAAATTAAAATCTTGACCCTCTCTGACTTTCAAGACCTTAGTACTCACTGGTAAAGAACCAACTCTTCCAATTTCAAGTGAAGTTCTCAGCTACGACCAATGGCTCTCGCTACCCATGATCACCCACGTAGTTTCCATTTCCCTTAGCTGGGAATATTCTGTGCTGACTTAGCACATAACATGGATGTGCAGCTGTCAAACAGCCAGCAACTCAGCCCCAGGGGCCAGGAGGTCTTGTCAGGCTGCAGTATGGGGGAATGGATTCTATAAATAGTGCACAAAATGCTTCAGGAAGTACTTTGTAATCACTATCAGGAACATCTCGGCAGCTCCAAAGGATTAAAGAAAGCAACAATTGACTAAAGATATTCTGATATGTCATGCAAATATGGAGAACGTTCCACACATTCTAGTTTATCTTTATGTATAATACACCCTTTTCCAGGATTTTTAATTTGGTAGAGAAAAAAAAAAAAGCTCTAAAAACAATGCTTCCAAATGTACATTTTTGGAGGTACCTTCTACATTGACTTACACTTTCCACTGACTTACATATATTCTGTTTACAGTTGACAATTAGTAAAAACTTCAACTTTGGTTTAAAACTGGATTGTAAGAAAGTGCCGTCAACACTTCATTTAAAAGTTGAGGCTCTATTCCAAAAACTCAAAAAAGATTCAAACACAATCATCTCAGATGTGTAGATAAGGGATCAGCAATCTGTTGCTTGTGAGCCAAATCTAGCCCACAGCCTGATTTTGTAAATAAAATTCTTCTGGAACATAGCCACCATCAGTTGCTTACATGTTGCCCGTGGTGGCTTTCACACTGTAACAGCCAAGTGGAGTAGTTGCTTTAGAGACCATATGACCAAAGCCTGAAATATTTACTGTCTGGTCCTTTTCAGAAAAAGTTTGCTGATCCCTGATTGAGACTCATGGAGTTAGAGCCTGAAATAGCCAGAAGAAATTTTGATTCTTGGCTATGGGACTGCATCAGCGATAATTAAGATTCTCACTCTGATAATAGCTAGGACTCTGAAGCTGGAGAGGCTTAGGTTTCAATCCTTGGTCTATCATGCTTTTGCATATTAATCAAGTTACTTGTTCTCTTGGTTCATATTTTCTCATCTGTAATACAAGGGTAATAATACACATGGTGCAAGATTATTGTGAGAATTATAAAGAGATGCCATTTATAATAACCATGGGGCAAGGTAAAGAAGCCAATGCATAAGAATCCAACTATCTCGGACTTCCCTGGTGGTGCAGTGGTTAAGAATCCACCTGCCAATGCAGGAGACACGGGTTTGATCCCAGGTCCGGGAAGATCCCACATGCCACGGAGCAACTAAGGCCATGCACCACAACTACTGAGCCTGCGCTCTACAGCCCAAGAGCCACAACTACTGAAGCCTGTGCGCCGAAAGCCCGTGCTCTGCAACAGGAGAAGCCACCGCAATGAGAAGACCACTCACAGCAATGAAGAGTAACCCCTGCTCACTGCAACTAGAGAAAGCCCGTGTGCAGCAACGAAGACCCAACACAGCCAATAAATAAATATAAAATTTTAAAAATAAATAAATTAATTAATTAAAAAAAAAGAATCCAACTATCTCAAAGAATGCACCTTTCTGTGTGTTCAAGAATTTATTGGGGGCTTCCCTGGTGGCGCAGTGGTTGAGAATCCTCCTGCCAATGCAGTGGACACGTGTTTGAGCCCTGGTCCAGGAAGATCCCACATGCCACGGAGCAACTAAGCCCGTGCGCCACAACTACTGAGCCCGCGTGCCACAACTACTGAAGCTGGTGAGCCTACAGCCAGTGTTCCACAAGAGAAGCCACCGCAATGAGAAGACCATGCACAGCAACGAAGAGTAGCCCCTGCTCACCGCAACTAGAGAAAGCCCGTGTGCAGCAATGAAGACCCAACGTAGCGAATAAATAAATAAATTTATTAAAAAAAATAATTTATTGGGCTTAAGACAACAAGCATTTTATTACATCACAGTTTTGTGGTTAAGAGAGTCAGGCAGAGCTTAGCTGAGTGATTCCATTGTTCCACATGGGATTGACTGGATGGGCTGGTCTGGAGGTTTCAGATAGCTTCACTCCCACGTGACTTGGTAGGGTAGCTAAAAAGGCTGGGCTCAGGTCGGACTGCCTACTGGAAAACTTACATGTGGCCTATCTACCCTGGCAGTCCCAGTGTGGGTGGACTTCTTAGAGGGCAGCTCAGGGCTACAGAGAGTGTGTTCCAGAGACAAAAGCAGAAGCAGCAAGACTTCTTATGACCCAGCCTGGGGAGTCACAGAGTGTCACTCCTCTAAGGCCAGACTTTACTGGGAGGACTCATGGAGAATTTATGGCCATCATTAATCTACCATGCCCTATTTTATATACATAAAATAATTTCACTAAAATCTACCACCAAAGCAACAAGAATTGGATTCCACCAAAGAACTGGGGGATTTAGGGTTGCATGACGCTGGTTTACATTAATTTGCCAATTTTCTACAAATGTTTTGGCAGCATTGAAACACAACTTGTCCATTCTAACAACCAAAGAGGTTGGAATTCTCAATACCCCTATTTTTATTTTCTAGGATTTACCAGATAGCTGAGCTACCGTGTTTTCGTTACACTTATAAAATGAGCAAAAAAAAGGTGTTTTCCTCTTCCCAAGGAAATAAGTACAGTGTGCCTGAAAATATGAAGGATTTTAGCTATATTTGAGAAGTATTTTGAGCAATTTGAAATGAAAAGTGGTAGCCATCTACTATCTTTTTTCCTTCCTTGAATGTGGAAATGTAATTTGTACTTAATTTTCAAATCCATTTTTATTCCAGATGTATTGGGAAAGGAAAAAACCCGTGATGGTGAGGAATTCAGTAATATATCATTGAGCAGATCCAAGTGGGTGGTTCTTCCAAGAAATGCAGTGAAACTAAATCAGAAAAGTGAAGATCAGTCCATGGGCTGAACAGATGTTACACCCGCAATAGACACACATGCCCCAGAGCTTAGCTGAGGCAGAAGCTCTGTGGAACCAGGTAACAGTTTTACTTTTGGTGTTTTCTCACAAACTGTGAAAACTTTAAGAAGAGTGATGGGAGGGACGATCTGAAGTTTTATGTGTGAAAAAGAGTATCATTCTCCAAATGAGAAAAATAACTGAAACCTATTCTGGAAATTCTCCTTCTGCACAAATTTATAGGAAACTGTATTTGTAAAATGTACTTTTCTTCTTAAAATATCACTCTCTGATACATAAAAGAATGAATTTTTAAAATAGTGTTTATTGTATTTATGTCACTTTAGTGGGCATGGCTGAGTAGCTGGATGGGAGAATGGCCAGTAAAATCCTTGGGGTACATTAGGCCTAGAATCACGCTCAGTTATTTTAACCGCTAGTGTTTCACTTGAGAAAAATCAGGTCATCCATGGACATTTTAAGGTCAGAAGCATTGTTTTCATTTCCAAAGAATGCTTCCCAAAAGAACATCCGTTAATCAGATCAGCAATGAACACTTTTCAGTTTAAATAAAACAAGTTCTTCCATTTTTTTTCTTTAGTAATCTTAAGAAAGAAAGATTAAGAAAACTCACGCACACTAAAATCACTAAAATGTTAACCATTAGTAATTTAATATTATTATTTAAACATTTAAACCATAAAAATTGTTGAGTTTATCATTTAAGACATAATAAAATAAACTGGAAACCACCTTTTGCTTTTTTTAAAAAAAATATAGGCTCTTCAACTAGAAATGTTTTGGTTCTGAGGTTGGCTCTCGGAGGGAAGATCTAAATGTGGCAAACAATGTATATCTTCACGCTGAAAAATGCCATTCATGAAAGCTGAAATACCCAGGCACGGGCTGTGGCTTCTTAGAAAGGAACCAGTGTTCAAGAATCCCATCCATTGATAATCACCCCCATATTTATAGTACATAGCAGTTTACAAAATGTTTTCACATAAATTGCCTCATTTGATCCTCACAAGCCTGTGAGGTAGGTTTTACTAGACCCATTCTATTGTTAAAGACTCTGAGACTCTGAAAAAATAAAGCCTTTTTTTTTTTTCCATTTTCCCCCCAATCCTTGACCAGTCTCAAGCTAAGTCAGGACTCCAAATTACATGCTTTCCACCACACCCTCCTCCTACCCTCCACCCTGCTCACCAGGATGCCCTATTCTGGTCGCACTAATTTTCCTCCTGTCACCCATGCAACCTGTTCTCTCACCAGTTTGCTTGTTTGCTTTGTGTTGTTTGTTTAAATGCTGCTTCTCTTGTCCAAATACCTTTAACCCAGAAAGACTTCCCTAAACACTGTCAGCCCACATCTCTCTTATCCTTTTACAATAACCCCCCATCACTTAGTATCTGTGATGCACCCCGTGGCATTTGCTTGTGTCGTTTCCCCTTCCTTCTCCAATATTTGCAAGTCTCAGGCACATGAACACCTTGAGGGTTGGGGCCATACCACTTATTTACTCTTCTTCCCCCAAGTGTCAAGCACAGTTCTGTCCAGAGTAGGAGAGTACTTATTACTCAAATGAACAATTTGAAAGTCTCTTTTCTTGAGCCAGGTGCCTGGGTCTCATTCCTCCGAAGCCTGAAACGCCCTCTCTGCTTCCACTTTCCTTACTCCGAATTATCCTGCAGATCACATGTCACCCTCTTTGTGAAGCTGTCCTGACTCATCAGGGAAACCTTAGTCACTGTCTCCCAGCATTTGTCACCCTCAAAGGTGATTATTTACATGTCTGTCTCTCCCAACAAACAACCTGGAACGTACACGCAGCGATCAGTACCAGCCACGGTTTTCAAATACCTCCTGTATGTTTCTGTAATTGTTAATAGAAGGAATTCTTAACCCCAATTTGATTTAAACTCCTTTAAAGAATATGGCTTGGTAGATATCTGTGAAGTGAATGCAGTCTTTCGAAAAAGTTTAGCTCTAAAGCAGTGAAATCATCTCCAATGAAATGCACTCATTCATTCCTGAAAAGGAATAAAATTACCCCACAAAGCCTTTTTGAAAATCACCCAAACATTTTCAGAGGAAGTTGGTATATTTATCTGAATTTTTTGTCATAAACAAAACATTAGATTCACTACGCACTTGGCATAATCCTGTTGGAAGAAAATTGATGGCGAGCAAAGGTAGCTGTCACGTAAATCACTTTTACAAAGAAAATGTCTGATGCAAATATTTCTCACGACTCGAGGATAAGCATATTTATGTGCTCCATAAAGATTTCATCTAATTTCTAAAATATATGGAATCTGGCTTTCCATAGCATATTTTACAATCCAGATAATGAATAGTAATGAGCTGAATACAGTCTATTATATCAAAGTGAATAGGACGATCATTATTCATTCTGAACATTAGAATCTATTTTCATTACAGCTTAGTGAATTTAGTCTCTTTTAGTAATATCTTAGTGAATTGTGTGCTATGAAAATGTATTTCATGAAAATGTAGAGTTCTTGATCAGGAATGGCAATACTACATAATACAAGACTAGCCTTATATAGGAATGAACATAAGAACGAGAGCTCAGACTGCAGTATCAGGATCACCTGGGAAACTTGTTAAATATACAGATGCTCTGGCCTCAGCACCAGAAATCTGCATCAACCTCTGTACTTTTAATAAAAGTGATAGTGATTCACCCCAAAATTTGGGAACAAGTAGACTAGGGGGATAAACTCAGGGATGGGCTGAAATCAGCTCTTACTGGCTTTCTCATCTCTACCCAGCTCTGCACTCCCTGGTGACACACTGCTAACTAAGCCAGCCAATGGGGGCAGTATTTACACCATGGAAATTGGCAACTACTATGTCGTTAAACATTTACCAGCACTCTACTCAATAAGAAATCAAAGCCTTGGTCTCTCTTTGTAAGAGAACTTTTTGGATAAACTTTGGTCCTGTTGAAATTGTCTGATAAACAATTTTGTTATGGATTGAGGAAGAGGTCTAGTAGAAACTCAAAGTTCCCAAGTTGTTAAATTAGGTATTTTTCCTTAATGAAGTGAAAATTAAAAGGCTCAAGGAAGTGAGTTAACAGTCATTTTAAAAGCAAGGAAAAACTAAAATTTCTTGAGATGGTGAATTTTTTTAAGGATTTATGGCCCAGGTTTTACCCTGCATAAGGTGACAGGGAAGGTGTAAAGTGGGGTGACCTACAAATCTGCATTGCCAATGTTCTCATATTTAATCAGGTTCAACTGCCCTGTTGTTTTCCCACTGCAAGCCAACTCTGACTCAGATATGGGGACTTGATTGGGAGGATTACATAGTGTACACTCTCCCACTTCTCCTGGACAGGTGGTAGGCATTTATGCTCACATGATTGCCTAAAAATAAACCAGAACTTGACAGGGACAATGCTAATTTAATATTTTATCAAATAACACAGGAAACTCAGAGATTTGGCTTTCAGATTTGAATTCTTTCTCTACTCCTGCATCACACATGAATTTTGGAAGGCTTGGGTCAGCAAGGAGTCCCATGACTCTGAAACATATTCATGCTGTAGAGGGTTGTGTGCAATGTCTCAGAGGGGGAAAGCTACAGTTTTGAAGGAGAAAAAAACCTATCTTGCAGTTTCACTTACTGATGTAAATTGAGTGATAAAAGCTTTTTAAAAAATAACTGGCAGAGTGTAAAAGGTCTGGATTCACAAGAGAATTACAAAGGATCAGGTGTTTAAGAATAATAAATATACCAAAAGCTGTCTTTGGGATGAGCCTGCAATCTAAACGCTATGTAGCATCATGTATATTGACTGTCTGTGCCAGCTTTCCTGGTACAGTTATGATTTTTGTAAAATTCTAGTTTCTCCAGTAAAAGATTTCCATTACTGACTAACTAAATGGGATTAATGTATAGCTCATAAAGATTAAGTGACTCCACAAATCAAAAAAAAAAAAATCCTTTAGCCAGATGATATGTCCCAGTTTGAGATTTGGAGAATATTATCACCATGTTTATAGAATTCATGATAAGATAGATTCCTTATAGCTAGATATTTGTCCAGAAGTAGACTCTGTGTTTTGAAATTAAGAGCACACACACAGACACTCCCAGCATCTTAGTTTAAGTAGAAGGCTTATTTCTCGGCCCCTGCCCTCCCCTGAATCAGACCCTCTTACCTCTCTTGAGGCAGGAAGTCTGTTGAATTAGACAAAGGCCAGCAGCTTCAAGTGTCACAAGGAGAGTAATCGATGCTTCTTGGGCTATAGGTGGATATATGGAACTAAATAAAAAAAGGAAAAGACAGAGGTAAATAATAAAATCATTCTGGGAGAATGAGTGTTTTCCTAAATGCTTAACTTACTGCCATTTTCCCCAAATTTGTTCCTCCTTAATAAGAGTCATTCCATGTAGGCGTGGGTCTCTTAGGAGAGGGGATATGGGACCTGAGGACGTATACCTAGGAACAAGCTTATTGTGAGGACTGGAGACTGAACTCTGGGTGGCGCCTGCCTGAACGGTGCAGCTACGTGGTACCTAAATTCACAGGTGCCAGTGAATATCCCACACAGAAATTGCTCCCCTACATCTGATTTTCCCTGAGAAACACTGCACAATGTTTCACTGTTTTCCTCCTGAGATGGCCAAGTAGTGGGTCACCTTAGGCCCCGATAGTCATGAGTCAATCTTGCCCACCCCCAAGGAACATTTTGAGTTATCATGTTTTAAAGGAAATAACATTCCTAACTTAGACATTCAGAAGATGTATCTGGAAAAGGGATAGGAAAAGATCAAGGAATAAAAAGTGGTCTGTATTAACAGTTTCTAAAGTATAATCTATTTTGGGAACATGAGTTTTATACCCTCTAATTTTAAATAATATTGCACTTGGACATAATAAAGGTTCTGAGATATCCTGCAGTTAAAACAAACATTCTTAGATTTGTTTTTCTTTCTTTTTCGTGTTAAAGTAAAATTGTGTTAAAATACACACAGCATAAACTTTACCATTTGTAAACGGACAGTTCAATGGTATTAAATACATTCATATTTCTGTACAGCCTTCACCACCCTCAATCCCCATAACTCTTTTCATCTTGGAAAACTGAAACTCTATACCTATTAAACAATAACTCCCCATTTCCCCCTCCAGCAGCCCCTGGCAACCACCATTCTACTTTCCGTCTTTATGATTTTGACCACCCTAGGTACCTCATATAACTGGACTGGATTATTTCACTTAGCATAATGTCCTTGAGGTTCATCTATATAACACGTGTAAGAACTTCCTTTTTGTGGCTGAATAATATTCCATTGTACATATAGCCCACATTTTATTGTATCCATTCATCAGTCAATGGACACTTGTGTTGCTTCCATGTTTTAGCTATTACGAAAAAAGCTGCTGTGAACATGGGTGCACAAATATCTCTTTAAGACTTTGCTTTCAGTCCTTTTAGGTACATGCCCAGAAGCAGATAGATTTGTTTTTAATTCAACATTTCCCAAGCTTTTCAATTATAGATCCCTGTTTATATGGGACCCCTATTGACCCATGTTCTGTGGCCCATTAGTTGGAATATCAGTCAGATATGGCGCTTTCTTCAGAACAAAACAAAACAAAACAAAACAAAAAAACCTTAAAGAAGCTCCTTCCCTTGTACAGAGCTTCACCCACAAGGGTGCTTCACCAGACCAACCCACTTCTGAACTAAACAGCCACTTAGTGAGAGCTGGGCCCCAGGCAGAGAGCTGGACCCTTGAGGTGACCAGAGCAAAGCATTCCTGCTCAGAAGGGAAGGAAGCCAGGCCTCCGCTTCTAGAGCTCAATGGTTTGCACTCCAGGGATGGCACTTCTGCTTAGGTTCCACATGTCACTCTGACAATTCATAATTAAAGTCATCGACTTCCTTTTCTGGGGAGGTTTTACTATCCACCACATGTGCTCTATCTTTAGTGTGCATTTGTTATTGAATTATAATTTATAACTTTTTCTGGCCAAATTATTTCTAAAAAATAAATCCTCAAATCCCTTGCAGTCATACGCACAACGTGTGGATGCCGAGACGCTCAGTAATAAAAGGAAAGCTGCTAATGTAGACGTACCCATATAGTCTAAAGGCGCAGAGGGACCGTAACCTCGATTCTGCAGGCAGTGGGGTGTGCTGACCTCCATGGCTCACTCACCGGGGTTTCTAGAGTCAGATGTTACTTACAGCCAGCAAGCAGATCTCTTTCACTCCTTCTGTATCCTGAGATTCTGATTCTAAGTTCCCTGGTATTTAAGATGAGCTTTTCCCAGTGCCTCTTCTGTGTCTACCCAGCAAATGCCAAGCAAAAGAAACTTAGGAAAGGGGAGGGGTAGAAACTTTGTGTTGCAGCTCAGCAGGGAGCTCTGGGAAGGGGAGCACAGAAGTCACAATAGCAAGAACTGGGACTTCCCTGGCAGTCCAGTGGTTAACACTCCACGCTTCCACTGTAGGGGACGCGGGTTCGACCAGGGGAACTAAGATCCCACATCCCTACCTGCCAAGCAGCATGGCCAAAAAACCCCCCAAGAACTGAGCATTGAAGGAAATTCGCATTCCTTGGGGCTGGTCCAAAGGGGATCTGGTGTTCATGAAAAGGGAGCCCTTTGGGAGTTGTCAGGGCTTTAGTGGGAAGGGCGGGCTCCCGCCCACACTGCTGGCATGTCACCCTGTAACTGTACGGGACACAAGGGCCCCCAGCTGGCTAGAGAGGTGGAAGGCAGAGAAACAGCCCTCTCTAAAGCGTGGCTCTCTACCACGACATGCTTCCCTCCAGACAGCCAGGGGCGCGGCCCTGAGTCCCTCTGCTGGAGTGCCCTTCTCCGGCCAACCTCCAGCCACATCTCTCTATGGGGGACAATGTGAGGCACCAAGCCCAGGCCACCCTCCTCTCCTCCACCACACTCCAGGTACCCAGCATCATGAATCCCCCACCCAAGGGCTCCAGCCACTGCCAGGCTGCAGGGAGAGCATCCCTCCTCTGGAGGGCCCATCCTAAGGCCTGCAAGGTGGCCAAGGAGTGCTTATTTGCAGGACAGGAGGGACGTGGGTTTGGACACAGCTTAGGCATGCAGGCTGGGGTGTCACACACGTGCCTGTGTGAGGTACCTCGAAGTGAGGGACAGAGCTGAGACTGGGAACAAAGTGGGAGTGGGCATAAGTTGTATTCTTGCCCCCAAGCCCTGCAGATGACGGAGCTGAACCCACTGAATCCGTCCTTTTAGGCATCACATGACACTGGCCAGCAGACATCACCATACACTAAAAAAAGGCCTCTTGCTTTGCTGGGTACAGTAAATGATCCTCATTACAAAAGCTACCAGCTCTTAATGTGTGCCAGACTCTGTGCTAAGAAGTTTACATGCGTTCTCTCACTTCATTAACCATGCTATATGAGAAATAATATCATTCCCGTTTTACAGATGAAGAAGTCGAGGCTGAGGCGTTTAAGTAATTTGTTCAGGTCGACACAGGTCATAAGTGATGGACAGGGGCTCAAACTCTAGATGAGATCTCCAACCTGAGGAGGGGGCCGAGAAGGCTGAAGCCATGCAGGTGGGAGTTTGGTTCCTGAGGTGGAGAGAGAGAGCCGTGGACACCTAGGAAGGGGGCGGGAAAGAAGCAGAAACACTCCTAGAAAATGGAATGGCTTTAGAAAGAGGAGAAGTGAGTCAGAGGCCAAGGACAAAGTGTTGCCAAGAGCTGGAGGCCTTGTGGGTGCTGGAGGAAAATTCCAGCTTCTCCTCTGAAGAGAGCTCAGCTCCATTCGCGAGTTGTCTTAAAGCAAGTCATGCAGGTAATCACGCAGCACACCTCTCAACCAGCTGCACCCAAACCAATTCAATTCGAGAGAAGATTTACATTTTAGACAAAAGTGAATAGCTGGCTCTCGATGTTTGTAGTTCAAAGGAGGAGTTGCCTTTTTTTTTTTTTTTAAACTGAAACATAGCTGGAAAATCTATGAAAGGCCCTTGTCGTGGGCTCCTTCACATAGTTTCAACAGCTACAGTGTTTTTGCTTGTTGTCTAGAAACCTGGGAGGATCTGTAGGGCTGAGTTTCTGAAAGAGAACTTACAGAAACCAGGTCAGTTAGAATCAAGGCCACTAGGCCTACAAGTCCTGGCTGTGAATTATTCAATTAAAAAAAATTTATCGTGAAGGTCCATTTAAAGTCAGCTTGTTGAGTTTGGGGAGAAATGAAAAGTAATAAAGAACAGTGACCCCATTAATTTAAATGTCTGCTACCTCTTCTTTCATAATTACAGAAGAGGTTTATGAAATATCTGTATATAAGTGAATTAAAGAGCACTTCCTCATTTCCCAAAAACATAAATTTTAGGACAAAGAAATAACAGAAGAAAAATAGGTAGTATCAGGGTTGTGATAATAAAATAAAACACAAAGTACATCACAGTCTCTCAGTACTTTGCAGTTTTGTTCTTGATGCTGTGTCCCTGCCAGCTCTCTATGAAGGTGTCTATCAAAAACTCTTCCAGGGCTTCCCTGGTGGCGCAGTGGTTGAGAGTCCGCCTGCCGATGCAGGGGACACGGGTTCGTGCCCCGGTCCGGGAAGAACCCACAAACCGCGGAGCGGCTGGGCCCGTGAGCCATGGCCGCTGAGCCTGCGCGTCCGGAGCCTGTGCTCCGCAACGGGAGAGGCCACAACAGTGAGGGGCCCGCGTACCGCAAAAAACAAACAAGAAACTCTTCCTTCTCTGACTACACAGTCTGATGCTTCCCCTCCTTCTGGTTGCCAAAAATGAAAGTAACAATCCATGTCTGCAAGAGAAAACAAGTATTTTTTTTTCAGAATAAGAAAAGAATGCAGCAGGAATGAAGGAACATTCAACGAGCCTTCCAGCGAGCCTGGTGGTGCCCACCCCACTGATGATAAAATTCTAGATCTGTCTTTTGGAACACTGTTAGGTTCACTAGAGGCACTTGATACACGTTAGTATTTTGTAAACTTCACGGCACTTCACTGGGATTACCACCCCCTTGCACAGTGAAGGAAATATATATTGGTTAATGAATTTTTACCTCATTTAAACTTTTCCTTCATTTTCTTAAACTTACATTGAGTCAAAAGTGGATAGTCAAGGTGTAAAACTAGGGATGAAAGTAAAAACATTAATACTCCAACTCCGAATAACTTCATAATAAAGAATAGTGAAAAGGTTCCCCAGCGTCAATATAGAATTTGACTCTGCGTCTGTTGGGATAGGGAATCTATAAAGATTTTTTCACAAGCATC